GTGAGTCTCATACTGCGCTGCTTTTCTTAAAACTTGTTCCATTCATTTAGCAAAACAAAAATACCTTTCTGTTGTTGCATTGTTTAATTGTACTGAGAACTTCTCAAAGCCTGGGACCCAAACACAGCTAAAATGAGGGACTCTGTATAACAGAAAGGCATTTTTGTTTTGCTTTGAATGGAACTTTGAAGTTTTGCAGGTCTAAAATTCAAATTAACATTTTTTTGTGTATAGCTGGACCCCTTTTATATGTAATCTAAACATTTGGGTTTAATTGTACATTAACTCAAAAATATGAAAAATATAGGAATAAGGATGGACAACTTTTTGAAAAGTAAATGTAAACAACTTTGTAAGGTACATAAAATTATATCTGAATCTTCAAGATAACTTTTTTCATACTTTGCGTGAACCCTCTTAAGATTTTGAAATCTTAACAAGGCAATAAATACAAACGGTGTATTTACACTGCACTTATCAATCATAAATGTGTCTTCATACAAAAACAAGTGGGCCATAAACAATTGAACATAATCCACCATGTATTTTTATAGTTTTAAAGGCTATTTTGTCATTCATGAGTCAATGGAATTTTCCATTTATGTTTCATAATCTGTACAGATTATAAAACAAGTTTTGGGTTAATATAGTTTCACAATTGATGCAGAGGATTCACTGACAATAGATAACAGCAAGATTGCTTGAAAAGGGTTTTCTTTCTTAAATACTCAAGATTGATATTAAGTAAAATGTTTAAGTATGATGAGTGCCTTTAAGACTGGCCTAGATACACCCAAATTCAAGAAATATGACTCATCTTGAATAAGGTGAGGCAATGATAAATTAATACTCTGTTTAACACATCTTTCTTAGGTTTTAGGCTGAATGTTAACTTTTTGCAACATTTTTGAAAAAAATATTTGTCTGACTCATTTCAAGTGTCTGGCAAAAAGATGATGTGTTACCCTGCGCACAGAGTCTACTAATAAACTACCCTCTGCCTAGTATAGACTATATTATACAGTTTAGCAGCCCTGCCCCCACGGCCCATGCCCATAACGGCTCGGGTCATAAATCATTTCACACTACCGCACTGAACAATTCTCAACCAATCAGCAAGCTGAAAGGAATACATGCTAAATGTGTGCACAATAATTATGTGATTACGTCAGAGAAAATGACCATAGAGTAAGTCGTCCGATAAAGAAAGTTGTACTTATTTTGACGACAAACTCTGATTAGCGTGGTGAGTTCAGAGATTTATTGAAAACTGAAAGAGTGAAGACAAAGCTCAGCAAAGTCAAACAAATGCAAAGGGTAATGATGTGTTGTTGTTGTGGGTCATTTTGATGGCATTAAAAGGCCGTCTTGTACCTTTTCAGGAATAACAGTGTGCTAAACATGCAATTAAAATACTCTTGTCTTAATGAATTCAATATATGGCACCTACAAAAAAGATGTTATAAAGCATTGAAGATTTCAGGAATAGGGGATAAAGATGCCAAACATGCCCTTATACAATCAGAATGTTTTCTAATTTTTTCTCATTTTTACTGAATTCCTGGCCTTATCCATCATGATGATGCATAATATTGAATGTAGTATACTATTCCCTTAATTCACCTTCATTTATCCATGCTCAAGGTCAGGTTGCTCAAAACGATGCATTGTGTATTGAACTAGAGGGTGTTGTAGGGGAATTACAGACATATCTTTATGATGTAAAACAGAAGGCAGCCAATCAGAATGAAACATTTAATTTACCTTCAATTCACTTGTATTAATCCATGTTCCAGGCCAGGTTGCACAGAATGATGCCTTGCGTACTGAACTAGAAGGTGTTGTAGGGGGACTCCAGACATATCTTCACGATGTAAAACAGAGGGCAGCCAATCAGAATGAAGCATTCAATTCACCTTTAATTCACTTTTATTAATCCATGTTCCAGGCCAGGTTGCTCAGAATGATGCCTTGCGTGCTGAGCTAGAGGGTGTTGTAGGGGGACTCCAGACATATCTTCACGATGTAAAACAGAGGGCAGCCAATCAGAATGAAGCATTCAATTCACCTTTAATTCACTTTTATTAATCCATGTTCCAGGCCAGGTTGCTCAGAATGATGCCTTGCGTGCTGAGCTAGAGGGTGTTGTAGGGGGACTCCAGACATATCTTCACGATGTGAAACAGAGGGCAGCCAATCAGAATGAAGCATATAATTCACTGCAGAATGAGAAGGATGCATTAGAGGAAAGATTACATAACCTTGAGAAGGAGATGGGCATCATGGATTCGGAGGCTGGAGGCTATATGGCATTAAGAGAAGTATGTCCAATGTTTTAAACCTAATGATCTTTGATCACATACTGACTACACAACCTCTGAACATTGGGGTTCACACATCATCCATCGTGTTTCTTCCTGCATTCTGATGATGCCGAGTTCAAAAAATGGACTGTGAACTTTTTATATTATGTTGTTTGAAACCAACCATATCTTTCAACGTGATTACAGTGTATGCCCTAGGGGCTGGTCCACTCTTCATTACCAGGTAACTTTTCTCACTAGGTATAGAAAAAAAACATTACAACTGGTCTGTAATTCCATTTTGACCAGCAACTCTCAGATCCTTGGGGCATACATACACTGTGTGGATACCTCATGAAGTCAGGAAAGTTGTTAGATGTTAAAACTTATTAATGAAAAGAAAGATGGAACAAGAGGTCTGTATATCTATAAATTTATACCACTGCTGCCATCTTTCTTTCTGGGCACATTACTCTTGATCATATTGGAGTCGAGTAGTTGTAACATTGATTACATTGATGTAGCTGCTGTCTTTTCCTGAAAAGAAAGATGGAACAAGAGGTCTGTATCGTTATAAATTTATACCACTGCTGCCATCTTTCTTTCTGGGCACATTACTCTTGATCATATTGGAGTCGAGTAGTTGTAACATTGATATCATTGATGTAGCTGTTGTCTTTTCCTGAAAAGAAAGATGGAACAAGAGGTCTGTACATATATATACCACTGCTGCCATCTTTCTTTCTGGGCACATTACTCTTGATCATATTGGAGTCGAGTAGTTGTAACATTGATTACATTGATGTAGCTGCTGTCTTTTCCTGAAAAGAAAGATGTAACAAGAGGTCTGTATATTTATAAATATATATACCACTGCTGCCATCTTTCTATCTGGGCACGTTACTCTTGATCACATTGGAGCCAAGTAGTTGTAACATTGATAACATTGATGTAGCTGCTGTGCAGGAGGAGTGAGTAGCTCCCATAATTCTTTCATATCCTATCGTATTCGGGGATTCCCTATTACATCATCTCTTGCATCATCTCCAATCAAATTGCAGGATTCGATCACGTGAACAATCATGAGCACGTGGTCTCTCAGTGCTGCGCATGCGCAGAGTAAAATTTGAAATCGTGGGAATGGCGTTAACATCAGTTCAACATCATCATTTCAAACCTACTGTAATACTATTGAAGTTACTCAATCCATACTTGTAGAGAATACTCATAAAACTACATTGAACATTTGGAGATCCATTTCAAAGGCAAATTGAGGCCTGTTTATAAAATTTGTTTTCGAACGTGCTAATATGATAGGTCACCTTTGGGAAATCTCCCCCCCCCTGGCTGCTGTGTAGGAAATGTTAAGGCACCCATTTTGGATTTTCCGTCCTAAAATATTGTCTGTAAAGTCTTGTCTGAGTTTTCAGGTTAACCGATTGAGGGATCAATTTTAAATTTTAGAGATGATTCTTAGTATGAAAATCTTGTAACTGATTTTTCTCTTAAAATCTTGTCAACTGATTAGTGTTAGGCATTCAGGATGAAAAATTTGCAGTATATAGGATTACCCATTGGTGGGGACATGTCGTAGACATTTGCGTTCTTGTCTACGACTGGTTTACTCTAAGATGTTTTTTTTACTCTAAGATGTTCTTGCTGTATTCTGTAACAATTGTTGGTCATTTTCCTTTGGGCACTGTACCTACACATTGGTGACATAATCCAAAGACAATCCATTGAGCCTCGTGGTTATAATAAAATGCTAGGTATTTAATTAAATGGATTACAATATATTTTTCAGAAATTGCATAACCTTGAAGTATCCTTACATACGAAAGATGAAGAAAATCAGATGCTGAAATCACAGCTTAATGAAACACTCTCTGCTGATGCAAACATTGATCGTGACATAAAATTAGCTCAAGAAGAAATTGAGGCTCTGAGACATAGCCTTAAAGCAGCAGAACAAAAATCAATGGCTGATAAACAAGTTTTGTTAAATAAGCTTGAAAATGAACAAAAGAGGGCAGCACATGCTGTTGATAAACTAAAACAGGTAGATGTTGGAAAAGAAATGATGGGCAACAGAATAAAAGAGCAACTTGAACACATGCAGGTTAGTGAGAAAGTGAACTTTAAGTGACAGCATGAATTAACTACTGGATACTAATTTGATTTTCCAGGCAGCTAACCCAAAATTAGTGAAAAGAATAGTGAGATGCAAGACTTATTCAATAAGTCTACACGAGATTATTCCATTGCCTTAGTTATGTGCTTACATTATGTCCAAGTAATTTCATTATCTTTTGTGTAATTCCAGGCAGCTAACACAGAGCTTCAAGCCCAGTTACAAGAAAGAGACAATGAGATTCAAGAGTTACTCAACAAGTCAACCCAACCTCAACACATTCAACAGAAACTACAGGACATGATGGAAAGCATTGATGCAGGCCAGGTGTGTTCATCTTGAAATATACTCAAGACATACTTTACTTGAAATCACCACTAATTCCAGTTGATTTACAGATAAGAATCACACAATATATTTTCCAATTTTAGGGCTGATATTTCTGCATGACATCAATATAGGGTTATTCTTGTTTTTGATGGGTATTTCAGGGTTGAGCCTAATTAATAGCAAGATTACTGGGGTACTTGGATCATCTAGATTAAAATGCATGTTTTTCTGTTCAGGCGCCTGATGAATCCATATTTGAAGAACCAAATGAAGTCAATGAAGCTTTAATGGAGATGCAGCGCCAGCTAGTGGATAAAATATACACTAGCCAGGCAGACGTGAAGAAAGCTGAGAAAGAGAAATCAAAGGTATTTTGTCATTTAATTTAAGAAATCAAATTAGAAGTTTAAAATGGAATTAACTAAGATGGTTAGATTGCAAACTTGTATATGGTAAACATCGAACATTTCATGAATTATAATATGTATATTACCTGCTTTCTGTCTTAGGCTGAGACAGAAGTAAGAAAATTGAGAGAACAACTCTCAAAATTGAACCAAGCTAACAACACACAACCTCAACAGAACTGGAGCAATGACAATGATGACACAATAGCTCAACTACAAGATGAAATATTTCAGCTAAAAGATGCCTTGAAACAGTCCAAGCAAAAACAGACATCTAACCAATCCACTGGTCTACCTAACCACTTTCTTGAGCCTACACCTTGTAGTGACCATACCAGAATAGGGGGCTCACAAAGGGGACCTTTGAGTGGCATAGCAGGCTCACAGTGGGGTGCTATGAGTGATGATTCAGACGTTACAGAAGAGAAGGCCATTTATGAGCAACTGCAGAATGAGTTAGAAGATCTGAGGAATAGACTTGAAGAGAAGGATAGACTGGCATCAAAACAGGTGAACAAATTCATTTTCATATATAGATCTACATCTATATGTATTTAAATTAATAAATGCAGAGCGGAAAACTGTGGAATTGAAAAATCAGAATGGATCATAAATGAGAACTAGTAACATAAACGCAATGATCATTTATAAATTGACTTGTAAAATTGACAACATGCTTTTGAAAATACAGTATAATTTGGAAGGAATTAACAGCTTGTATGAAACTGTTTCTATTGATTTTCAAGGCAATGAATGCAGAGAATGAGATGCTCAAATTAAAGAGAGAGTTGGACAGAAAAGAAAAAGAGTTAGAAAATGCTCGAAATTTCCATGTTCCACAAGCTAGTCATCCTTCAGTTGATGACCATTATGGAGACAGAGATCACCATAGCAACCAAGATTACTATGATGTTACATATGATAGAAGGTTAGTAGGAAAATTATAAATCTATGACTGAATCAAAACAGTTACAATTGGACTGAAGTTCTCAATAGTAATTTTTTTATGTCAACACCAAAAGTGATGACATATTGTTATGGTCCTAACATTTTGCGATGGTAGTTGGTGTTCAACGTTTGGAGTTGGGAGTTCAGCTTCTGTAAGAAATGGCAGTTGGTGACATTTAGCGTGTTAATGCCTTGTCTAGTAATATGGTAATCCTAATTCCAGAAATCAAGGAGAAAACAAAGCAACCCAACAAGGCAATCCACAACATCACCATAGCAACCAATATGATTACCCTCACAACAGAACTACCGCAATGGCCACGCTAGTGGACCTCCTAGCTGGGCAACCGAGCCTGTTCCCCACCAAAGGGGTGGTCAAATCCCTCCTGAAGAAGACCCTATAGTTAGGGAGCTACATGGGGAGCTTGAAAAAGCTCAAGATGACATAACAGAACTTGTTCAACTCCTAAAGGAGAAAGACCACGACTTGCAGGATACAATGGCACAAACAGGAAGGTCAAATCAAATTGTTGGTATGTATCACATCTGTCAAGTTAATTCCTATTTATTGCTACATGTATCTCATGTTTAAATATGAGGACACTCTGGTATTATGTATTTAAGTTTTTGTCAAGTTTAAATTGTATAAAATACAGTTGTAAATATAAATGTCAAATATGTTCAGGGACATCTTGGTCAAGACCTTGGATATACAATTGGTTATATTTCTTTACATCAGGTCATTCAGCATGTGTGTTATGTTTCAGCTGCCAAAGAAGAAGAGATTGAAAGATTGCATGATCTTTTAGAAGATCAGAGAGGGGAAATAGAACGGCTCAATGATATTCTACACAGATTAACTGGAAAACCTCCAGGTATTTATTCCAACATGATTCAGTTGTTTTCAATGAACAAAATGTTTATACATAAATGTACACATAAAGTATTGGAAGTTTTAAACACTAAACATTTATATTCTTATATTTTAGTGAATGTGTAGTCAGAAAATTCGCTGTAGGTGTTATTTAACAGTGACATCTATTTAAAACATTATTTTTTATCAGATTGTTTTATAACATTTTTTTATTTCATGTACAGATAAGGATGCTGAGATTCAGCAATTACGTCATGATATTTTACGTCTTCGTGACCATGTGGCTCCCTCTATAGGCAGTGATAACCATGACAATTCAAATGGATACCATGGTAATGGTGCTCCAAGAGAGAGACAGGTGCATTTTAATCCATCAGTACAAATACAACCTGATGAAAAAAATCAAGTGCCATACAACCTTCCATCTACAAGAGATTCATCCCAATTGGGAGTGAATGGAAGAGCCTATAACTCACAGGGAGGCAATTTCTTTGCTGGAACAGCAAGTATAGATGGCTCTTATAGACCATATGATGGAACCAATGCCCCTATACCACAGGATATGGGACAAGCAACATCAAATATAGGACACATGGCACCCAATATGGAACATATGGTTTCAAATAGTAATCAAATTCCTCCAGGAACTTATACTGGAAAAGTGAATTCAAATATGGGACATCCAACTTCAAATATGGTCCAGATGCCCGCTACTATGAGTCAAATGACATCTCATATGCCAAACCTCTCAAATAATCAAATCCCTGTAACATTCAGTCAGATTCCTACAACACAGATTCCTCCAGTACATTCCAGTGTCATTCCTACCATCATTCAACAAGGAGCTCCATTTCCTGCTGTGACCCAAATAGCTCTGACCCCTGCTGTCACACAGCAAGGAGCTCCACCCCCTGTTGTCACTCAACATGTAGCTCCACCTACTACTGTCACTCAACAAGTGGTTCCACCTCCTACTGTGCAACAAGTACCTTTGACCACTGAGGGTCTCCCTGTAACAGATGATGGCCTCTATTGTAATGTGCCAGAACATCATGAACTAGTAGGTTATCCTTCTTAAAACATTTAGGCCTAACAACTTAGTATTTATTCACTCTTTTATCTCTTACTGAAAATATTGGAGATTTTAATTTATGAAAAACTTAAATCACTTGAAAACTTAATCATAACTAAGATCATAAATTAATTTTGGGATTTTAAAGATTATGCATTCATTAATTTCTAGGAGGATAATGTGAGTGAACTACAAGACAAGATTAAATTACTCAAGGAGAAACTGGCAATAGTTAAGGTATGTGACCTGGTTGACTAAGCCATTCATTTTATTGAGAAAACAGTTGTGGGGCAACTGTCAACATTAAGGTTAATCATAAGAAATGCATTGTGTTTTATTAAAAAATTATTTTTGGGATAATCACAAGGCTATTTATATTATGGATAAACTATAAGTACTGGGTTTTAGGAGGAATAATAGCCGAGTTGCAATTTTAATAAAAGATAAACATATTAGCAGCTATTCATTTGGCATCAAAAGGAGTGGAATATTGATGGTTGTTGGTTTTCCTTATTTGCTTATCTTTTTACATCTGTCAGATTTTTTGGGACCAACGTCCCTTTGGCACCAATCATAACTATATTTATCTTTTTTTTAGGAACAAAGAAGATCAGACCCAGTTTTAGTTAGTCCAGCGAGAAAAACCAAAGATAAACAGAAAGAAAGAAGTGCAATTAAAAGATTAAAGGTACAGTGCATATTTTGTAATTATTTGTAAAATTGTTCTCCTTTATTTGTAAATTCATGAAGAAAATGTATAATAGAATACTGTAATGTGATTTAGAATAGAAACATTGCCATATTGGTGATCATGATAATTTACTTATTATTGGTGATCATGATAATTTACTTTTTATTGGTGATCATGATAATTTACTTATTATTGGTGATCATTATAATTTACTTATTATTGGTGATCATGATAATTTACTTTTTATTGGTGATCATGATAATTTCCTTATTATTGGTGATCATTATAATTTACTTATTATTGGTGATCATGATAATTAACTTATTTTTGGTGATCATGATAATTTACTTATTATTGGTGATCATTATAATTTCCTTATTTTTGGTGATCATGATAATTTACTTATTATTGGTGATCATTATAATTTCCTTATTATTGGTGATCATTATCATGAAGTAATTTCTTGCTGATAAAAATCAACCAATGACTATAGATTAAACATCAAAATTGGGTTTAGTTATTTACTGTATACTAAATATGTTGCCCAGGAGAGGTACAAATTGTTTTCATTTTCAAATATTAAATATAGGGTGAACTAGAAGATCGCAGAGATGAACTAGAGGGACTAGATCTTGCAATAGAGTCACAAAAGGCAACTCTTCAATTTATGAAGGAGGAGGAAAGAAAGTTGGGAAATGAAAAGGAGGCTGCCAACAGAGAGTTAAATGACTTGAGGAGAGCTAATGCACAAATCAACCAGAGAAGGTATGTTTAGCCACGGGATCAGTGTTTATCGATCATTATTTGTTTTTGTTTCATCCAGCTCTGTCAAGACTTGAAGCTGAATTGTTTTGTTAATGATGCAGTATGATAACTATAATTGCAAATTTACTGTTATGCCATATGTAGATATATTAAAGGCCTAAGACATGTTATTGTATAAAGCCTGTCAGTCTGTTGAGATTCTTATTCGTGTCTGTACTGGTCTACAAAAATTGCAATTGTTTCAGAGAGTATCTCGAGGGCAGACTAGATGCAGAAACTGAAGAATCTGATTATGACCTAGACGAAGAATACAGAGATCAAACCCTGCGTGGAAGGCAGAAATATCTCCTGAATGAGGTCAAATGTTTGGAGACAACATTAGCAAAGCGTCGTGCAGAATTAAGACAATCTGATAGACTTTTAGCAGAGTGTCAGAGTGACCTGGCAGCTGCTAGGGATGAGGTACAGTATATGTTCATAACTATAGACGAAACTTCCACACATTAAAACAATGTATAGTACCGCAGATGAACTAATGGTGTACCTCATTCATTGTGCATACAGCAACCTTCAATGTCAATAGGGTGGAAGTATTTAGCTAAAATACAAGATGTAAAGAACAGACATAACTGGTAAAATATCTCTTCATGTTTCTCAGCAATGGCAAAAGTTCATGTGAGTAAAATTTAATATGTTGACATACAGCACAGGAATTAACAGTAGTTGAGAATGAACTGATACATGTTCATAACATTCTTTCCTATCCTTTCTTCCACAGGCAATGGTTACAGTACAGAAATATGACACTGCAAAGGCTGAGCTTGGAACCACAATGCAAGAAGTTACTGAAATAGACAGAAGAGCAGACTTTGCTGGTAAAGAATTGATTGAGCTAACAGAGAAGGTGAAGAGTCTACAAAAAGAGGTGGAAGTCATTGAGACAAGAAAGTCTGAACAAGAGGAAACATTAGCTGGTATCAATAAGGTAGGCTTAACATATGTTTTACTCATAGTAATTCTTCAAAATGTTTCCTTAATGACATGAGCATTATAAATATTGTAATATTTTTAATATTTTACATTTTATAACATACTTTTCAAACATGTGCCACATTATTTGGTTTAGGAGAAAATACATATTTGTTGTCTGACATGTATAAGCTATTCAAAATGAGGTAATACATGTACTTTATCTATAAACATACTTACCATTGAAAAATGTGTATCTAGGTGATAGGATCTAAGGATGCCGAATTCCAACAGCTTGATAGAGAGTTGCAGAAAACCAAGGAAAGGTAAGAATATTAAAATACCTGATATTATAGTAATATACAAAATTATGAGTGACCAATGAATCACACCATTCATGTAATACTCTATAACTATCCAACAATCCTATCAATTTCTTTCCATTCATTGTTTAGTCAGACAAATTTGAATGGCTTGGGTAAATTTAAGACAATTTAAGATGCTCTTACTTTGCTTTGTCAAAAAAGAAATGACATTCACACACTACATCTGAAATTCATGTCAAGGTAATTTATATATTTTACTGGTCATGTCCTGTCTGTCAATGAAATACAGTTAACATTGGCTTTTATCATTGAGTAATTTTACAGTCACATGGAACTCCAGGAGGAAATAGAACAAGTGAAGTTACTGGAGGAAGACAAACTTAACTTTCTTCGTGAGAGTGAGGAGATATTAAACAATAGAAAAGCTGAACTAGCTAAAATATCAGATCATGTAAGTTATCCAATTGATTTGTTTGTCTATGCTGTCATTTGAAAAATCCCTATATAGCAATATTAATGATGCAGTCAACAAGAAGCAGCAAGAGAATGAACGACTGAAGCAATCAGTTGAAAGAGAACATATACGAGTGAAGGAACTCCAGACAGAGAGGGACACCTTGGTGGCTAATGTAGAATCTCTCACACAGCAGAAACATTACATACAAGACACTTCCAGAGACTTAGAGGCAAAGGTTGAACAGTTAAAAAAGTAAGCATTAATATTGTATTTTTACTAGAAGTATGTGATCATTGGAATGAAGTAGGTGTTGACTTATAAAGAGAATCATAAGCTTGAACTTGAGGTTGAAAAAGTATTATCTCTTTGAAGTTCAATTAGTGATGTAGGGAATATTTGTTGACCAGACTATAACTCAAATGCCTGTCAATGGATTTGGTTGATAAATTGATTTGGTAGATATCTCTTAACAGAAATGAATCTTATGAAGCTAAATTACTTTTTGTTTATTCTCAAAATCTGTCCAAAGGAATTGAAATTCAAGATTCTGCATCTCTAAAGTTCACAGTGAATTCTAGTATTCTGTTAAAACTGTAAATTATGTGAAGTTGATAACACATACATGTTCTCCAAAAAAATAATTGAAAGGTATAATTGTTGTCTATTTGAATAATTTTTGAAAACATCCAAAAGGCTGAAGAAATAATTCCCTAATCAATGCACATATTTTCTTTTTAATCAGGAGGTATAATCAGATAGAAGACAAGAGAGCAACAGAACAGACTCGACATGACGTGTTGCATGGTGAAGTAACACAGAGAGAGGTTGAGCTTGAAGAGATGACATCATTAAAATCAGCACTTCAGCGTGACCTGCAGTCATTAAGAAAACATGTGAAAGGTGTATTATCCTACTACATATATCATCTCTTATAGTTCTTTAGAACTGTGAATCTTTTGCAATTAGAAATATTGAACAACATGGTTTTAGTTGTTTTCACCCAAAGGGAGGAGGCTACATGTACATTGCTCTTCAAATGTAATATGAAACACTGTTGATCTTGGCAAAAGTCGTTTTTAATTGCAAGTACCATCACTTCATATATTTCGTTAATGATAGTCTTTGAAACAAAGTTTCCTGATAAGTAGTTTGCAATGTGTGTTAATATTTCAGACCAGAAAGTTGAAGCAAGATCCAAACAGGATGAACTAGATGAGGTCAAGGAAACACATAGTGATCTAGAAGAGGTATGGTATAGAAATATATTTTTGTTATTAATTTATTTGACTAATGCGTATTGATGCATGTATGTCAATAGCCCAAAATACCAATTACTTCCATTTTCAGGATTTGAAACTCTTAACCAATCAGAAGCAAGAGATGTCATCAGAAATTACTGCCATGCGAGACACAATCAGAAACCTTCAAGCCCAATGTGATGAAAACCTCAGAGAGAAGGATCGTAGCGAATTACAGTTAGAGGATGTCAAGAGACAAATTGCAGATTTACAACAAAGAAATCTAGAGGGTAGAGAGGTGGGTCAATGGAAGAAAGTTATTTCCATATTGTTTTTACATTAGATTAGTTCCCTTATTGTAATTACATGATGCTGTAAAGGGAGAGAAAGTTTACAAAATGTAATGTTTCATATTTTCCAGACATTGTCTAGAGTTTGTGAGGGAGCTGGATTTACTCAAAAATTAAACCATGTATACAAGTTATGTAGGATTGGTTATCTTTCATTTGGGTTTATTTTTGCCAAAACAAGAAGTGGATAAAATGATATTTATTTATTTATTTGGTACTTCACTTTTTTCATTATGTTAGGTTTTATTTGTTATTTGTTCTAGATTGAGAGCGAGAGACAGGAGCTTGAACACATTGATAGAGAAGTAGGTGAAAAAGCTACAGAGCTAGCACAACTTGAGAAACAACAAAGTGATAGAAACAAGGAACTAGCTCAGCTTGGAAAGGAAGTGGAATCAGAGATCAATGCACGTCGGCATGAGATTCAGGTATTTTTTAACTTTTAAACATATTGAAAGGAATAAGTGCAATATCAAAAAAGCCCTTTCATGGTGACATATAGTTATAGCCATTGTTTTATGACAGGCATTTAGAATTTGACATCAGTGGTAAACAGTTTGTAAGCTGTGCCATTGTTCGTGCAGTGGATAATTTTAGCATTTGCTTATTTAAATGACAAGGTAGCCTTCTGTAGAACAGGATATCTTCTACTACAGAGATCCATTTGTAAACATTTCATACCTGTATGATGTATGATATCAACTGTATATATCATCATTTAGGAAACTAGTGAAGTTCTAAGTGGTCTCCACCAACAAGAGGAACAGATGTCTTCCACTATACAAGATAAAAAATCGCATCTTCATGATTTAGAACTTGATATAAAAGATCAGGAAGCAAATTTAGAACATTTGGATGGTACTCTCACAAAGCATAAAATGGAGCTTAAGTCTGTATTAGAGTCGTTACGTGATGGTAAAGTGGATGAAGAAAAGTTAAAAGAGTCAAATTTGGCATCACTTGCTGAGTTAGAAAAGTTAAGGAATGCAACATTAGAGGTTTGTACAGCCTGGGAACTTATATTGCATGTAATTAACAGTACATGTAAAGTTGGAATTCAGATGATACTTGTGTTTAATAAAACTGCCAACTACAATAATTTGGAGGAACTCTGTACTTCAATATGATGTTTCACAATCTTATCGCAAAAATCTTAAATGATACTGGAGGATAAGCCCTGTTATAAAAATTAATAACTAGATTAAATGCACACTTAGATCTTTTTCTTAAATCTACATGTATAATGCTTTTCACAAGGTTGCATGAATTGAATTCATCATTTTACAGAATTACTTACATCATTTGTAGGAAAAATCCCTATATAGCAATATTAATGATGCAGTCAACAAGAAGCAGCAAGAGAATGAACGACTGAAGCAATCAGTTGAAAGAGAACATATACGAGTGAAGGAACTCCAGACAGAGAGGGACACCTTGGTGGCTAATGTAGAATCTCTCACACAGCAGAAACATTACATACAAGACACTTCCAGAGACTTAGAGGCAAAGGTTGAACAGTTAAAAAAGTAAGCATTAATATTGTATTTTTACTAGAAGTATGTGATCATTGGAATGAAGTAGGTGTTGACTTATAAAGAGAATCATAAGCTTGAACTTGAGGTTGAAAAAGTATTATCTCTTTGAAGTTCAATTAGTGATGTAGGGAATATTTGTTGACCAGACTATAACTCAAATGCCTGTCAATGGATTTGGTTGATAAATTGATTTGGTAGATATCTCTTAACAGAAATGAATCTTATGAAGCTAAATTACTTTTTGTTTATTCTCAAAATCTGTCCAAAGGAATTGAAATTCAAGATTCTGCATCTCTAAAGTTCACAGTGAATTCTAGTATTCTGTTAAAACTGTAAATTATGTGAAGTTGATAACACATACATGTTCTCCAAAAAAATAATTGAAAGGTATAATTGTTGTCTATTTGAATAATTTTTGAAAACATCCAAAAGGCTGAAGAAATAATTCCCTAATCAATGCACATATTTTCTTTTTAATCAGGAGGTATAATCAGATAGAAGACAAGAGAGCAACAGAACAGACTCGACATGACGTGTTGCATGGTGAAGTAACACAGAGAGAGGTTGAGCTTGAAGAGATGACATCATTAAAATCAGCACTTCAGCGTGACCTGCAGTCATTAAGAAAACATGTGAAAGGTGTATTATCCTACTACATATATCATCTCTTATAGTTCTTTAGAACTGTGAATCTTTTGCAATTAGAAATATTGAACAACATGGTTTTAGTTGTTTTCACCCAAAGGGAGGAGGCTACATGTACATTGCTCTTCAAATGTAATATGAAACACTGTTGATCTTGGCAAAAGTCGTTTTTAATTGCAAGTACCATCACTTCATATATTTCGTTAATGATAGTCTTTGAAACAAAGTTTCCTGATAAGTAGTTTGCAATGTGTGTTAATATTTCAGACCAGAAAGTTGAAGCAAGATCCAAACAGGATGAACTAGATGAGGTCAAGGAAACACATAGTGATCTAGAAGAGGTATGGTATAGAAATATATTTTTGTTATTAATTTATTTGACTAATGCGTATTGATGCATGTATGTCAATAGCCCAAAATACCAATTACTTCCATTTTCAGGATTTGAAACTCTTAACCAATCAGAAGCAAGAGATGTCATCAGAAATTACTGCCATGCGAGACACAATCAGAAACCTTCAAGCCCAATGTGATGAAAACCTCAGAGAGAAGGATCGTAGCGAATTACAGTTAGAGGATGTCAAGAGACAAATTGCAGATTTACAACAAAGAAATCTAGAGGGTAGAGAGGTGGGTCAATGGAAGAAAGTTATTTCCATATTGTTTTTACATTAGATTAGTTCCCTTATTGTAATTACATGATGCTGTAAAGGGAGAGAAAGTTTACAAAATGTAATGTTTCATATTTTCCAGACATTGTCTAGAGTTTGTGAGGGAGCTCGCAATGAGGAAACACGAATTACAGAGGTATTTTGTTCAGTTTATTTTATAAAAACTCAGTCAAATTTTAATTACAGTAGAAAAGTTTATACAAATCAAATGTACATACAGAGGTATACAATATATATTTGAACTCCATGTTTTATCTTATTGATGTGTCATGTTTGTGGCAAATAACGCAGATGCGAGTAGGTAGTTCCCAGTTTCACCACCAGGTGGCTCGTTTGGGTCAGATAACATGGCGGGTATAGTAGAAAGTTCCCTTTAACTTAAACTACATCTGTTTTAGTTGTTCAATTTTCATATAACCCTTATGTATCTAATAGTTATGCAAATCAAAATATGTCCAGTAAATGAAAATGTTATCTGACCAATACAAGAAATTTGTAACATGGGCTCTATGGAGAATCAACCCGAACTAGAAGTCACACTTTCAGAAATAATTAAATTTTCAAACTTGATAAACAATTTTCGAAACCATATTTCTAGATGTACTTTTACATGTAGATTTCAAACATAACATCGCTTTGACTGAATTTTGAGTATTTAATGGTGAAAATCAAGATTTTTTCTACTCGCATCTAGTCTATTGTTTTGAGCTTTTTTTGAATCATGGTTTTGCCAACGTTTGTTTTAATAACATGTATTTTTTAAACTTTTTTATTCATTTTTAGTTTTACAAATTTTGCATGTGTGCACGACAATGCATCGTGGTGTTATTTTGCTATTATTTTCGCCTGCTTCTAATGTTAAATTTTTGTTTTGTACATGGCTTACCTCATTTGAATGATATCACTTTTGTAAGATAATTCTCAATACTTATCCCACTATAGTCCAGTTTTGGTTCATTTTTATCTGTATACCAATTGCCAGATTCCTACCCTTATGTAAAAGGTGTTGATTTGATAATTTAAATATTCAACTGGATTATAATTCCTTTTAGAAAATCCTCAAAAGTTGGTGAATGGTATAAAAATGGTGCATATTTGAACCACTGGTAACTTCTATAATCCTGTATTGAATAAATCTTCAAATTTACTCAAAAAAAACTTTTTGAAATCCAACCATCCATCATTTGAGGTGTTATTTACAATGTTTATTCTGCATTGTTACAAAAATATCATTCAAATGCATTTCCCTAAAATCAGTCTTACTCAAAATATATCATGCAATGTGGCAGGGTTTTTCATGTGAACCTCATATTAAAGTGGTATACAGATCATATTTCTTAAAGTTCCTCATGTATGCCATTCAGTTTATGTATATTTGCTTTATTCCCTACTAATATATCACTATTTTTCTCTACTTTGCAATTTTATGAGATTCCTTTTTTGATTGTTTTTATTCACATTTTTTGCACCTTCACTTCAGTTGCTTAGCTCGGCCAATAGGGATCTTTGCAGCATTCAGTCCGAAACTGCTCTCCATAAAGATGAATTGCAACGCACTAATGCACAGCTTGAAAACACAAAGGTAGAAGTGGAACACAACTTTGATGTTTTTTTGATCTCATACTCATTTGTTTTTACATTTTTTATTATTTCATATCATTATTTTCATTTCATTTTGACATTGTTCATTTAATGCACTGCATTTTCTCACCTTCTCTGTTTTACATGCACATATTTAAAGTGTGTTAATCACATGCATTAGATTGATAAATTTGATAGAATTGTACCTGGACTTAATATCTTGGAGTTAGGCAAAGTAATCCTTGAGACCAGGTCTTTTTATATTTCTAAGGTTTATTGCAAAGTAAAAGGGTCTGCAATTTTGATTCTAGTAAATCATTTCTTTTCTGAAAAGTATCATATCTTTCAAATCACATGCCTAGTAAGTAGAAATTTAAATTGTAAAATATCATGGTTTTACTATGGTCATGAGTGATTTTTATATATTCACACATAGCTAGTCAAATAGTGTCCAATTCAAGCCAATCAAACATTGTCTCAAAGAGATAATTTGCCAGTTATGCTATTAAGCCAAGGTATGATTTTGAAGTGTATTCTAATAAATGCACAAACCTTCGACATACATTTACACTCATTAAAATGTATCATGTATTTTTAGACTGAGTTAACTAGGCTTGGGAAAACTCAGGAGAAATACATTCAGCTAGAATCCAGAGTCAAGGATCTGGGTAGGTCATATCTACAATATGTCAAATTGCCATAGCCTAGAGGAAAGTATATGTGGATTCTAAATAATTCATATCTAGTGGAAAAAATAGAAGTTTTGGTTAACTTCACACAGTTCAAAAGTTTTAAAAAATTGAATTTGAAAAATAAGTTGATGGGGATATAGAAAGATATATATATTTACCTCAACATAAGACAACACAGGCAATTTAATTATTCATGTTAACATGAGTGGACTTTTTTTATATATATAGTGAGATGTGTAATGTCTCAGCTTTTTAACAAATAAAACAGTTATTTTAATAAAAAGGTTGTTTAAAGTGACAGTGGTTTTTCTTTAATGTGAATAATTTAAAGCTCCTAGATCCTAAATATTTTCATTCAGAACAAGAAATAGTTGAGAGGACCACTGAAAAGAACCAGTTATCCGAGGCCTTGAACACGTCTTATGTAGAGCTACAGAATCTAAGAGCACAGATAACACAGGTAGGCTGAAATTGATTGTTAAAATGATCCTAGTGGGACAACATTTGGACTTTTTTATTATTATGAGATGTACAAATCAATGTAACGTTTGTAAGCTTTAAAATAATATATGACACATACTATGGAGACATTGGTATATGTCTGCCTAGGGGGGGGGGCATACTTGCGGGACACCCTGTATATGATTAATTTCATGAATCATCTGAGTTAATCAACCAAATTCCCTTTGCTGTATGAAGATTATAAAATATTAAAAATGTAAAAAAAATTCTGAAAATGTTATCTTTATAATTGAACTATATCTACTATGTTAATGTTTTACTACTTTTACAACACGTTGCTTAAACTATTTTCATTTTATTTCCATTATATAGGATGGTGTCTTAAGGATGGAGCAAATCCATGATTTAGAATCTGAATTAGAGGCAGTCAGGGAGCAACTACGTGCGATGACAAAGGTAGTGTGCTAAACTTTATTTCACATTTATTTCCTGTTCTATCACATTAACTGAAGTGGATTATAATCACTACTCTATACTGTATTTTGTAAAATCATTCAGCATCTACAACTTCAAAACCTTCAATAATTTCACAGATTTTAGATCACACTTTATTTACTCAGCTTCATGCCTCATAATTGAACCTAGCAAGAAAAAACAAACTCATAGTGTATACCAGTCATAAGAAAAACAAATGTCATATATCCCAATATAACTGACCCAAAATAGCTTCATTATTATGTACTGTTACCATTTTAGGAATTAAAGAAGGAAAAACGAACTGCAGCCAGTCAAATACAAGAACTTCAGACCTTATCACAGGACCACTGTCAACGGGCTAATAGACTTACTGAAGAACTAAATAATCTACACACTCAATACATAGCACTACAAAGAGAGGTATCAGCATTACACTCCCAATTTGCACCATACAGTACTATAGCAAAAACGGTACCATTCAGTACTGTACGAAAAATGGTACCATACAGTACTGTAGCGAAAACGGTACCATACAGTACTGTAACGAAAACGGTACCATATAGTACTGTAGCGAAAACGGTACCAAACAGTACTGTAGGAAAAATGGTTCCATACAATACTGTAGGAAAAACGGTACCATACAGTACTGTAGGAAAAACGGTACCATACAGTACTGTAGCGAAAACGGTACCAAACAGTACTGTAGCGAAAACGGTACCATACTGTACTGTAACGAAAACGGTACCATACAGTACTGTAGCAAAACCGGTACCATACAGTACTGTTAGAGATTGACTGTGTTATCCTTTATAATATATCACTTAAATAATATATTATTCTCATTAAGATTTGAAAACATATCAATATCAACTATTTTATTTTGAAAAACAAACATTTCGGTACAATAAATGTCAATATCTGTATATTTTGGACAAAATTATAACATCATCTGTTAGTACAATTTGCTCAATAAAGCAATGTTTCAGTTGTAGAGTGGGTCAAATATGTAATAGAAGTCGAAATAATACATAGATTAGGACTAAGATAAGAGGTAATATTTAACCACCATATAAAAGTCTACTGTATTTTTCTCTATTCTGTTTCACAGTTAAGAATCAAAGAACAAAGCAGAGAGAAGGACAGCAAGTTGGAGAAAGCTTTATATCAACTTAAATCTGATATTAAAGAGGTTTGATATATTTTCATTATGATTTTTTCTGTAAATATATTGCCATTTTTGTTTGTATTAAATTATAAAAGAAATAGTTACTTTATAATACAAAATAAGTTTCATTGTCAAGAAAAATGGTTGTACTTCATCTTGAAGTTATTAAAACAGGTAGTTTTGCATTATAACAACATTCCGGACTAATAATTTGATCCTGAATCTTGCACTGAAGTTTTCCAATGTTTACAAGGCTTAAGAACACCATATCATTGGCAAAATGGATGTTTATCTAATTACAGGAAGTTTCTCAAGGTCTACAGGAGTTTGAGAAGTCTAGACTGGTTGACAACACAGGAGTAGAAACTGATATATTGTATCAACAAAAAGAACACATAGAAAAACATCTGCTGACTTTAAAGCAGAACTTAAGACTAGTAAGTCCTTTATAGTCTACAATCAGGAAAATTCAAATGCACCTTAAACAGATAACTGTGTAATAAATAACTGGCTTGCTGGAACTTTGAGATGTAATGATAATGAAGACATCTTGTTATGTCAACAATTGTTGTGGTTACACTATGAAGAAATTTCGAGGAAGAATACTGTTTTTTTATAAACAGATTGTATTTCTATTATCTTATCAAGTACAGGTCATACGAGAGGAATTCAATCGCTAGTGGCATTATAGATGTCCTTCATTGTAGCATTTTCAATTTATTGTCATGGATTTTTAATGATAATAGTATAATAAAATATTTTAAAAAGAATATAATATCTGCATTTAATTGGAGAGTTCATACTATAGTCATAAGTCATAAGAGATTTGTAGATAGACCTACCATATGAATGTCCTTCAAAGGTCAACAACACTGATTGCATATTTTAAAAGCAAAATCTGAGGCAAAATTTAAGAACACAGGTACTATACTGCATATCTTTTTTTGTAATACAATATTTTTTGTCTCCAGGTCCATGAAGATTTTGACGATGTGCCAACCAGGGAAATCACATTGAGAGATAGTAAGAAGTCTGTCAGAAAAGACAAAGAAAATCTTGAGTTTCAGCAACAACAGGATGATATAAAAGTAATGATGCTATTGACTTATGATTCAGTTTTTATATCTCCACCAAAAGTGATTAACCTCTTGACTACCTGGAGTGATGAGATTTCTTGTTACTTCACAGAAATGACCTTGAAACCCAGTGTGACAAGAAAATATTTTCCACGTTTGCCGCCATGACATTGATCTATAACAAATGGCGGCTGGTGACATTCAAAATGTTTGTATGTTAATGCCTTGTCCTTCCATGTTATATGGCTGAATGGTTGATTTAATACCTTGAACAGTAATTGGTTTTGATTTAGATTCTGTGTATTTTTCAGAGACAACTTCAGCAACAGATGAGCCGTCATGCCCAAACTATAGAAAGTGGACGTAAACAGTCAGCTGACACACTGGATGGTTTAAAGCACAAGCTCAACACACTACAAGATGTATGTAAATTTATCAAAACTAGTATCATTTACTCCTTTCTTTCCCCAATAGCTTCCAATTTAAATATTTGTATGGACATTTGTAAAATTTGCATCAGTATATGCTTTGCTGTTGACACGCCTAACCATCGACAAGGTACAGTCACGTGACAGTGACAAAATATGCCGTAGTACACTTTTGATGTACTATGTCATTTTCGCCATTTTAGATCGCCATTTTCTAGAATGAGGAAGCGAGGTAAGAACTAGCATTGATTTGATCAATATTGTGCCAGTTCATCATCAGGCAGTTGTTGCATTCGATTTGTAATTAAGTTGCAAATATGCATATCTACTTCAAGTGATCATCAGCAACTTCAATATCTTGTTATAGATCTACCCAGTACGTCAGGGATCTCTAAATCTTGACTGAATTTCGCAAAATTCTCTCTAATTTTTGTTTTGCTATGCAAATAACAGCCAAACTACGACTAACACAACTTAAGATAACTACAAATATACATACAGAGTTAATGCAAAACCGCTTTTTACTTTGGATGCTACTACGAAAAATAGATAATGTATGTTGTCAACTCGAATGTATGTTGTCACATTGGCCTTACAGATCTCAATTCACAGTTAATTTTACAGTGAATGAAATGCTGTAATGTACGTGTAATACAAGGAACATATTTGTATTTGTAATAATTTATAATAATAGGGCTGGCATATCGAAAAATTTACTCTAATATTTTGTCCGTTAATCCATAAAATTGTCATTGATATGATTAATTCAATGTTACTAATAATTTTTTAGTATTCCATAACCCTGGCTTTTGAACTTCTGCACTTTCCCCCCTAGACAGACATATACCAATTTCTCCATAGTATGTGTCATATATCATATTTAAGCTTATTCAAAGCTACATTGATTTGCCAAATATGATGGTTCAAATGGTAAAAAGTAACAGGCATTTCAAAAATTAGCGTTTTGCCAAAAAGTTCATTTCAGTATCCTGGAAACAGCCCTGACCTGAATGTGACAGAAAATATGGATGCTATTCTCGAAGATAATATATGGATATCGAGTTCTAAAAAGATGACGTTTAGGGTAGATACTCCAAGGAAACTCTTCTTATGCCTTAAAAAGGTTTTATGAGGATTACAAAACGCCATTATCCCTATTTGAAGCCAGTTTAAGGTCATATATGGAAACTATTGCTGCTGTTTACACGGCGGCTAAGAAGACACACCGACTATTGTTTTGGTGTAAAACTGACTTTAATTTTGTCCAAACACTAACTTTTGAAATTCCTGTAACTTTTTCTATTTGTGTGTTGAACCATGATACTCGGCAAATTAATGTAACTTTGGATGAGCTTTAAAATGATATACGACACATACATGGAGACATTGGTATGGTATATGTCTGCCTAGGGGGCCCATAATTTCGGGACACCCTGTAGCATAAAGTCATCTTGGATTAGCTAGTAAAGATCTCTCCATGAACTCCTTAAGATTATTAAAATTCATAAAAGTGCAACTAAACATAACGTAACGTACCGACGTCGAGTGGTCAAAGAGGTTGGAAGAAAACATGCCATGGTCACATATTAATCACCATATTAATACTTTCATAAAATAAAATAGCATTCAACGAAAAAATCACTTTTACCTGTTTATCTGTACTAGGGATACAGGAGCATGTTCGTTGAACATCAATTGTAACGCATAAAACCCTTAATGCATTTTGGAATTAAATCATTGCAATGTTTAATTATAACTCATGTATTTCAATTACAGGGACAACATACACTGTGAGTTGACAACGTACATTTCTGA